TTTTTTTTGTTTCTCTTAAAGTTCAATTTATGTTGGCCTCTCACAATTCAATTTATATTTCAATTAATGTCCTTTGAAGTTGGACCACAACTCCACCCCCACATTGTAGGTAGAAAGGCAAATGGAACATTGTGGGGGTGTAAAATTATAATTTAGATAATGTAAAATTGATTAAAATATAAAACAATATGTGAAAAGAAGATACTATTTTAGATAGGTCTTCTGTGTAAATTAAAATAACATATCTTTTAGTAATAATTTGATGCTTAAGTATATGAAATGCAACTAAGGAAATATCCATCTGAAATTACTAAACCACAACATATGGTAGTGAATGTTACATTTACCAGCCTATAATAAAGTATGATAATTTTTCAAGTTGTGCATCTTATTCCAAATATCACATCAATGACACCAAATTAATCTTGTGCACAATTAGAGAAAGTTCCACAAATGTAGTTCGCTAATCAACCATAAACATAGTGGTAAGATAGGTAGGTGCAGGCAAGCTTAACACAAAGACAACTATAATTTTTGGGAAATGTTACGGTCTACGGTACCATCATGTCGGGTGTTTTAACTGTTTGATCCACATGTAGTTAGATAAGATATATGATCTAACTGTTAAAAGAGATAGTACTGTAACGGTACCATATCATTTCCCATTATTTTTTAGTAGAAATAAATAAAAAGTATGGAATTTTTCACAAATTGAAAATGAAGTGTTTTTTTTTTAGCACTTTTCCCCACTCAGAGTCCTTGTGGGTCTTCAACTCTCTCCGCAACAAATCAAGGGAAAAAAACAAATAAAATTGAGTTTTGAATTTTCTAAAGTTCTCCCCGCGTCTCATTATTAGAAACTCATTTTTTTGAAGGTCGATTAAGCAAATATATGGGATTCGAGTTCTTGTGAATGCAGAAAACTTTATTAGAAGACTCACCCACTATTACTAGGTGTGCGATCAGAATCGACCGACAGATTAGTCGAGTTAAAAAAGAAAAAAAAAACTCCCTTTCTTTAATTAATTTAATTAAATCCTATGCTGTTAATTTAAGGAATTCGATCCTTTATAATTATAAGGTTCCCTTTTTTTCCCTTTCGTTGCCAGCACTTTCAGAACGGACGCCCAGGCAGAAACAACACAGTGCCACCTGCTATCTCTCCTCTTTCCTGTATGCTCCATCCTTCTCTCTCGCCCCTTCTTCGTTATTTTCTGTATTAATTCACTTTTAATGTCGAGGGTTCGTCTCAAAATTCGATCTTTTGCTGCCGATTATTTATTTTTTC